TGATAAATGGAACAAGTTTTAAAAACTTTTGCCAAGGAATTTAAAATATTAACCTTACAAAATTTCCATTTTAGCTCGATAAAACTGAGAGTTTTAGATTTGTCGAGAAACGAGGACAACACAGTACGGAAAGGTTTCGGCTATGAGCAGGGTTTTTAACAATATAACTCTTATCATAAAGAATTGCGTGCATTTATTTAAAATAAAATTAAACTTATTTCCCCTTCAGTTTCAATTACAATCAATCTAGAAAAAATTACGAGATTTCTCTTCAAGAAATAATATAAAAGCAAAAGTTTTTTTCCTTTCTAAAGCCAACAGTCAGCTTTCGGTGTGTTTTGATATTTTAAAGTCTCGTTTCGTTCCTTTTAAGTCTATGTATATTTTTCAACAAGACTGTGGCTTTACTGCAATGTTTACTTTTTAAAGCCCAGTGCATGAAAGAAAAAAATGTTACATGATTATGGCGGCTTGCCAGAAACTTTAAACGCATTTATAGGTTTTTAGTGTTCGATATTTTTTTGTGCAAGTTACGGGAAAATCCTTCTTAGTCTTCTTAAAAGTGACTAGAAATTCCTGGATAAAAAGAAACTTTTGTCTGCACATTTGATTTTGAAAAATCGCTTCGTTTTCATTTTTGGAATTATATAAAATTGAAACGACATTATTTCATGTTTTATCGTATGTAGTTCATTTATCATTACTTAAAATTCCTGCTGTCTTTAAATTCCTTGGTCTTAAAGATTAAATGGGCTGTCGTTTATAGTGAATATTGTTCGATAATTTTGGCCAAAATATGATTCATGAAATGTTCTAGTATATAACGTGGAAAAGTTGTTCATGTTATATTGAATCTTGTTGTCTATCAAGCTTCTTAAATTCTGTCAGTCTTCTGTCAGTCATAGGCTCTAAGTACAATTTTTACCAAGAATTTTTTTACATATCGTTTACACAACAAGTTACTGCAATTCTATTTTGTCTTTTAATTTGAATGTATTACTAAAATATTGGATATTCGTACTTTTCAAAATATCAATAGACCGGAAAATTTTGTTTTGTTTTGAGTTTAAAATGATAAATTTTTCCTTTATTGTACGTTGTCAGATCTGTCTCTGTTATTCCACATAAACTAAATTAGTTTCTACAATGAACCTGGCGAAATCTCGCATAGGCTTGAATAAATTACCAGCGCAGAAAAAGGGTGAAAAATAATTCTCTATTTTTAATTCAAATAATTAAAAGAACCGGCACGATCTTTGTGCTTACAATGGCATCGTCAACTTGCGGTGAAACTGAAATGTAGAATATAATATATAAGTCAAAAATAAACTAGTGCTGGATTAGCACGTTAAATTACGCCTAACAGGTTGACTCACAAAAGCCTAGCAGGAATGATGATAATCTGGCTAGCGTAACAGCGAGATAGCAACGAAACGTGCGCTGGCTAGCGAAAACACGCTCTGAATAAACTCAGAGATTCACCTGTTTAAATAAAATTTACATCTTGGCGAGAAAATGCGAGGGGAAGTTGAGGAGTTCAGGAAAAGTATCAAACTTAAATTTGTTATGCAAAATAAGGGAAACCCTACAATGTGAGTGGGAAATACGACACACTGAAAATGGTTTCATAGAGCACTGAAAAATATGGTGCATTTTCAACAGCGAATACTAATATTAACAAACACAAAAGTAAATATTTTACATTAACACAGTAAGGCGTCAATTCGAATTTTAGTCATTACTTTCAGTTCTGGCTTACCGAAATTTGACTGAAATATATTTTCTTTTTCATATGTAAACCTAATATTCGATACTTGGAGCATTTAAAAAACTTGCTGTTACTTATACGTAAATTTACGTTATAAGTATAATGGTTTGGACTTTTAAAGATGAATATTCAAGCCTGCAAGCAATTTTGTTAACTATTCTTAACTTAACAGTTATGAGATTCTCATGTTACATTTTGTTATAATTATGGCTGTAATGTTTATTTTTGAAACGATTGCGCTGACTAAAATAAACGTATTGGCTTTGGTTGAATTTGTACGTATTTTTATTAAGACTAGTAATTTTAATTTGAGGTTTCGTTTCCTTTCCCAACCAAGTAGAGGATCCATTTAATTTGTTGCCCTCTGAAACTGCTAGTTTTCTTTCCTTCCAGCTTAACGGAGAATCAACCTTCGCTTCCTGCACAATACCATGATATTGCGATGTTGTGATAAACATAGACCTCCCCATTTCACATTTTGAGATAAACTTGATTCGAATTTCTCTTAAAATAATAAAATAGCTAGGTTAGCGGATAAAAGTATGAGTTTCAGATACATTAAAAATAAGAATTAATTGCGGAAAATCTACTAATATCACTTTATAATTAACCTACAATGAAGAAAATCTATCCAGTCTAGCATCATAATAATTATGTTACGCAAAGAAATGTTTATTCATTTATATTTAATTTTGATGAATGAAAATTTTGTTTCCTTTTTAAAAGAGGAAGTTTTTTAATAAAGTAACAATGTAATGATAAAAAAAAACAGTACTGCATATCTAAAATATTGTAAATGCTGTGCAGTTTAGTATTCTGCTAAGTATCCGTCACTCGCATACAAGAAGATTCTGACTAGCCTCTCTGAGCACAATTTATACGTGCAAGGAAATATATTTTACATTCCTTTGGTTAACATAATCAGTAATCATTTGCTGTCAAGTAATGAATTTAAGCAAAACAGCGTTTAATATGATATGTAGTAAAAACTTTTAATGTTTCTAAAATAACTCATTTCAAAATTATCCATAGAAAAATTTAGCTCAGTTTCTTTTATACATATTGTTAGACAGATACCTAATTTAAAAAGATTGCATTTCTTGCACAATCAAATACAGCTCTCAAACCAAATCTTGAATGTTATATTCTTTATTTCTTAATGCTTCACTCAAAATAGGTGATTAAGTCTACGTCAGGAAAATGAATTTTAACATAAGCGTGTAAAACCGGGCAGTTATTCTTTGTGGGATATGATTGAAAATATATTAATTGCAATTCTCCGTGATTTTTATTTAGTTGTTTGTGATGGTTATTTAACGATCCTTAACATCGATATATTCCATATATTTGGGAAATGTCTTAAGACTAGAATAACAATAAATTGACATATTTTTGTGTTGTTTATATTAAATCAAAAATGAAACTCCCAAGATAAGGAATGCGCGGTAAATTTATGTAAAACCCATTTTTATTATTATTTCCAACAGCATCTATGTAAAACTATACACTAACAGACAATTCATAGTTACGTGATCATAACAGTGCCCTAAGCAAGTTTGGTCATTAAGTTTTAGGGATGGATATTATTTGTTGTATGGAGTGTATTTATTTTTTGCTTTCACTTACAACGTCAAGATTCTCTCATTACAGTTTAGGAGAGTTATCGGTGAAGAGAATCATGTAAGAGGATTTTCCTAATTAATTTCTCTAACATAATTTAGCAGGGAGTAGGTGCATGCAAAACCTACTCCCTGCTAAATTGACATAAATGCCATCTATTATTTCATTAAGCTCATATCATAATCCATTACATGTATATCAAGATGCAAGGAAAGTCAAGAAAAAGGTTTGAAAAATCGTTCTATTTAGAACTCAATTTTCCATCTTGCATTTATACTTATTTAGACCTCTTCAATCCTTATTTCCTTTAGTTTGACTGGTTATTACTACCACAAAACGACAACTATACTCTTATTGCGGTAATAAATAATGACCATGAAATGATTTTTACACTTACTGTATTGTGCTAGTTATCTTTACAATTACATAGAACTAATAGAATTATCTTCACACTCATACTATAATTCATACAGTGTACGTTTTGCAAGTTGCGAAATTAATCACAAACTGCTCCATAAAGGCTTCCAACTACCAGCAAATACTGAAATATAGAAAACATCAACTCGGATAATTCATTCGATATTATAAATACTGCATGATATCTTAATTCAGTTCATCTCAAATATTAAAGTGAAAAGTCGCAAATTTGGGGCCATTGGTTAGCTTCCTATATTTGTTTATTAGCACTCTTCAAAATGCAAAGGCTACGTTTATAGAAATTTCGTTTACACGCAGTATCAGAAAATTATCGCTAAGAAACGTAATTCAGTTGAGCATGTAAACATAGTGTTATCTTTCCTGCTTTTTCAGCTATTAAAAACAACCTTTCCTCCCAGAAAATGAAATATTAGCTTTCTCACGAATGCAGAAACAATTTCACAGTTAAAACAAGAAAGAAACCTATGTTTATGTATCATTTGTTATACATGCGTAAGTAGTGAATCACAAATATGTATGAAATTTTAACTGTATGAAGGGGCACGAGATATAACATGACAGGATCTAACATTGAGATCAGAAGAAATATAAATAAAATTAATTAAGTGTCTTGATTTGTACAATTTTATACATTGCTATAATGTCAGTATTATGGTACTTTCCGTGTAAATATGTATGCAAGATTGTACATTATGTTTTGCATCTTAAAACCACTAATTTCTTTTGTAGCTAATGAACTTGCATAAAGCGGAAATAAAATAAGCCAGGAAGGGCTTATTTTTTATAATGTTCTATTGGAAGATTTACCGAAGCCGTTATTACTTTTTTCTTATTTCCTCCTATTACCTTAACGGAAGCTTTTAAACTGACTTTTCCTTAATTTGGGTTTCAATGTGTTTTGTCTCATGTGCATCATTCATGAGAGTACGTATGTACTATAAAATCTTATAAGGTATGTGCTAATTCCATAATTTAAATGCCATTTGCTAAATACAAATATTTCTAATGAAACAAAGGACACACATATTATACATAAAGGAAAACCATTTTTCTTTAGCGGTTCTGATAACCAGAAAACAAGTATATTTTTTAATAGTTTTCCATGCTTGAAATTTTGCAAGACGGAGGGATTAAAAGATGCCCAGGTTTTATTAAAATTTTCATTTGTCCGCAGGTGATGGATGAGTACTGGAAGAGTGACGTCCAAGAATTTGGAGCTATTAATATCACCGGCTTCCGTATTATTCAGCCTCAAAGTGAGGAGACTTCTCAATTTCTCAGCATGTGGAAAACACTAAATGCCTCACGTTGGCCTGGTGCTGGTTCTGAACATATCTCGGTAAGTAGAAACTGAATATTGGTTTTTACAGTCTAGCTTATTTACACTTTCTTACTTTAAAGCCTGGTGAAAAGGATAATTTTCAGAAACTTCATTTTAAAATATAGAACAGATCTTTCTTAAAACCTGTCAAACTACTGTTAGAATGCAGTCTTAAAGATCATGTATCATTCAGCATGGATTTCAGATGTTTGACATTCGTAACATGAAATTAAATATTCTGCTATGAACTTGTGATTATAATATATGTAATGTAATATCGTAAGGAGACAAAATTCTACTTTTATAAAATGCTTTCATACTATTTTGCGCAATTTTAATAGCATTGTTTCCTTGCTCTAAGCCTGAAGCATTCATCCTATAAGATATTTCAACCGCCTTCCTAGCGAGCCTTCGTGGTGTAGTGGTCAGCACCACTACACCACGCTTCTGAAATACCGACTCAGGTACCAGGAAGGTACCTGAGTCGGTATTTCAGAAGTACGTGGTTCAATTCCCGGCGATTGCTCATTTTTCATCTTGCCTGCTTCTAAGAAATACCTAATGTCTCTACAGTGGCGCCTGAACTAAAAGGGTGTTGGATAATGATTCCCCTCACCCAGGATTTGGCTATTGGGTCCCCTAAAAACCCCATTTGCCCTTTAAAAGGGGGGAGTATATAAGGTATTTCTCCCACCTTCCTAGCGTGCCTTCGGGGTGTAGTTGGTTAGTGGCTCTGCACGCTGGGCCGGTATTCCAGAAGTCCGTGGTTCGATTCCCGTAGAAGGCGGTAGCTCATTTTTCATCTTGCCTGCTTCCAAAAAATACTAATGTTTCTACAATCCAACTAACGTTACGGGCTACAGATTAACGGTTTACAGATTCTTTTTTAGTATGATAATCTGAAAATGTTGCATGATTTTAAGTTTTTATTAGTTATATACTTCGGCATTCGTTCCGTTTCAAATATTGCTAGTGAGGGAGACATTGATCATGCTTTATCTAAAAAAAATCCATTAATCACCACCAATCCTAAAACGAATCCGTTAATCAGCAGATCAACATCTATTTTGCAAAAATCTCTAAAGTTATTTTCATTGTTTCGAATTCATGTCGGCTAGACGCATAAAACATTATTTAAATCAGTAAATAAATATTTTATTATGTCTTCCAATTTTGTACATTATATCCAGCGATATTTGCTAGTTTGAATTAGCCGCAGTATTTTGTAAAAATGAATTCTTGCAGATCAAAGCTGAATAATAATTAATAAAGAAGTCATATTTTACTTCATAATATTAAAGGCTGCTTTACGGTGGTAGTACGAATAGCTCAAACAATCAGAAAGCAGGTATAGAATGACAGCAATACTTTTCTCGTCAAGACTAGCAGTTACAGATTTCCCCCAAACTACAAATCAAAGTAAGCATATTTTTTTGAAAATATTGTAGTTATTTAAGTCGGTTACATTTAGTGCTCAGCCTAATAAACATTTGAAGTGTAGAGACATTAGGATATTTTTTGGAAGCAGGCAAAATGAAAAATGAGCAAACGCCTTCGCCAGGAATCGAACCACGGACTTCTGAAATACCGACCCAGCGTGCAGACCCCTACACCAGGAAGGCTCACCAAGAAGGTTGGAGAAATACCTTATATACTCCTCCTTTTAAAGGGCGACTGGGTTTTTTTAAGGGGACCCAATCGCCAAATCCTGGGTGAGGAGACTCATCATCCAACACCCTTTTTTTAGTTCGGGCGCCACTGTAGAGTCATTAGGATATTTTTCGGAAGTAAGAAAGATGAAAAATGAGCAAACGCCTTTGCCGGGAATCGAACCTTGGACCTCTGGAATACCGGCCCAGCGTGCAGAACACTACTCCACGAAGGCACGCTAGAAAAGCTGGAGAAATTCCTTATAGAAGAGTCTAAGAGTGATTTTTATAACTGATTTAATAATAAAGAACGCTTTATTAATTTTGCTGAATGAGAATGCAGAAAATATATTTCTTATTTATACTGTTCACAGTTTTGGAGAATTTTTGAAAATTATTCAACCGTATTCTATAGCTTTATCTTCAGAGCTGTATGTATGCATGTATAACTAAATATTCCAGTGCCTTTAAAGCCGTATCTACGCTTCCAGCTTGAAATTTGTCAAATTATTAATGCAAAACGCCTTAATACGCCGAAGTCATACGCTGTGATACACAATGGCAGAGGTATTTTGGAATTATAGTCAAAAACACATGTTATTTTCAAATGTAGTTTCTCAACGTGCGTGTTTCGATACAATGCTAACAAGATTTAATACATTTTTCAGTTGGGAGGAAGGCATGCTAATATTCGATAATTAAAGGAATGAGGTTCAGAGCTACAATTTATGAATATACTTTATGTAACACAATTTTCTTTTAAATATTGAATCTCATTCAGTCTTAAGCAATTTATTTTCAGCTTTATTAACTTTCTATTTCTACTGTGTTATCTACTTGTCTTATGGTTTTTATTTTGTTGTTTCCAGCCCTTCTATTTTCTAGGATGTTTCAAGTAATTTTTATATAAGATTTTAATAGAAAGTGCATGGAAGGCGAAGTTACAAGCTTTATTTCCCTAAACAATAATCGATGACAACTATTTCTCATCTCAAAATCTTTCACAACAAGATGCCCAATTTCATAAAATTAGTCTCAACATGTGAACGGGATGTGTTTAGTTTAAAAATAAATATATATGTGATGTATCAGCTTTAGTCGTAGCTTAAATGATCAGACGATAAGTTTTTAAAAAAAAACAGGATCCATTTATTATTATTCAGGAGAAAATAGCAGTTACAAAATCAGATCTCCGCAGTAAATAAAAAGAATTACTAATAACTTTTTGTATGAAGTTTACTTCATCGTGACATTTAAGAAAAAGCCCCGATATTCTTTTGCAAGTCCTTTTATAGCCTCTGGAAAGGCGGAGCTTCCAAGAAATGACGTCAGCCTTTTCAGCCAATCCAGTTCGCTTTAAATATTTCCAGAACATTCTATAACTGTCCGTGTAGAAAAAGCGGGAAAAACAACTTGACTATGGCGCTGTGGATTTAATTCTACGTAGTTTCAAATAAGAGAACGTCGCCATTAAAAATAAAAAGAACATACAGTTAGAATTTTAAGTGTATTCTTGATTATGGAATTTTATTATTACAAATATATGTAATATTTCTGTAGTAGAACGCAGGTGGTTTTATCTGCAATGAACAGGTAGAATTTTGATGTCTTAGAATGCTGAAAGGACGATCCACAATGAAGAAGAAATTTGGCAGACAAAAATAATTTAACAGAAATAATTTAACTTTTATTTCAGTAAACATGTTGTGGCCACAAACAAGTTGGCACATTTATTGTGCTTATTCCAAAAAGCTTACATTTTTGACAGATTTTCAGTAAAAAAGAAGGAGCAGACAGACAGCAGTACAGCTGAGCCAAAGCGGTGAAAGCAAGTGCGTTATGTTCAGAGCGAAATCTTAATTCAGACTGAGTTAGTTTCGGTTCTCAATGCATTTTGATTGGATATTTAATATTGCTGTAAAATGGCTATTGACTATTTGAGTTTTAGTTTCATTTACATCATCAAAATTATGTAACAGTCATATGACATAGATTTTTCTAAAGATGACACCTGAAGACAGATGCGACCGTAATTTCAACACACCATTTTATTTTTTAATAATCAATTTTTAGGACACATATTCTTCTTTACACTTTATCATCATGGGTGCGATATTCACTCCTAAATTTTATACAACATTCATTTCTTTACACGATATACAGCAGAAGAAAGTGGAGCGTCGAAGCAGCAACGAGCAGAGTAGAGAAAAGGGGTACGCATCAAGAAAGCAAGAGATACATGGCAAAAGATGTCTTTAATAAGATTGGATAAGAGCTTACCGCAATGCAGCATAATTACAGAAGCAAACATGATACGGATTGATATTGAAAGACGCAGTCCTGAAAGATATTATAAACAATATTTTAAATAATTTCCGCTTTTATGAAAATACACAAATTAAAATGAATAATTACAATGTCATTGCTAATTTAAGTTATAATTCTGAGTTACATATTTTATGTCTTATATATATACTTTTTTCTTAAGTAAAACTCCATTTAGTAGGTATTTCCTTGTACTTTTATTAATATTTTCTCAACATTCTGTGAAATTTACTTAGTAAACATTTAAGCCCAGCTATATACTTAATGAAGAAGGCTTTTGTGCGAAGGACCAAAAGAAGTAATCGTTAAAACAATTTTTTTTTGTATGATATCTCCTTGTCTTAAAATGATGTCTTGGATTTAAATCGGAAATAAATCATGAAAAACATATCCTCTAGGTCAGTAAATTTTCTTATTTTCACTTAAAATATACGTAATGATTTCCTTCATCTAATCGTAGATAAATATAAAAGCAGAAACACAGATGGGAGCAAATATACACACCAGCACATCACTGACAATAGACAATTACATAATCTATCGCCTGCAGCATCTAGAGTATATATATTTCGTAGAAACTGTGATGGCTGCTTGTATTACGAGACTAAGTATTGATTCATATACTATCAATGACATTTTTATCATGTTCTTGGATGCTGTTAAATTTGAAATACTTTTAACTTTTCTTATCACGTACTTCCTTGTGCATATTTAGACCAAAACATGAAGCAGCTTTAGAATTGTGGTATTTCAAATTTTAAGTGGTTAATTATAAAATTTATGGTAATAAATTATCGATAAATAACTGCATTAACATGGGTGAGTTTTAACTCCCTTAGGAAGGTAGCGTATTGCCATTAAGACAGATCCTAGCTTTCTACTCCTATCTTCCTATCTTAAGACAGTCTTAACTACTTTAGACTTAAAGAGATTTATCTTATAAAATAATTTTCAAAAGCCATTATGCTCTGCCTTTCGGTACCGCAGTAGGCTTCCCTAACCACTATATTATCTAGGCGGCTCTTTAAGAAACTTGTCATAGTA